CTTACATATCACTGCTGTGCTCAGAGTTAGGGTAATTGGGCTGTGGTCTGATGTGAGGTCAAAGCTTGAAGATATTTCTGTATAAGATGAAGATATGCCACTGGTTATGAAGAAGTCTAAAAGATCGGGAAGTCTGTTTACATCTGTAGGCCAATAAGTAGGTGCTTCTGGTGAAATAAACGTGTAGTTGTTTTCTAATATGACTTGTATCAGTTCTCTTCCTTTTGTTGTGAGCCGTGAGCCCCATGTGGTATGCTCGCTATTGTAGTCCCCCCCAATAATGAATTTTGGACCAAGAGTTATAAAGAAATTTTTGAATTGCTCTTTTTTGAGGTTATGACGTGGTGGACAGTAGACAGCTGATACTGTTATATCGTAAGGAAGACTGTTTACTTTTACAGATGCTGCCTGGATATGGTTTTCTTCATACTTAGGCATTTCGTGGTGTTTGATTGTTTTTTTAATAAGTACTGCAGCTCCTCCATGTGCTGTACCATCGGGATGATTTGTATTGTAAAGTATATAATCGGGTATAGAAAAATAGCTTCTTTCAGTGAAATGTGTTTCACTGATTAGTAGGACGTCTATAGTTTTGCTGTAAAAACAATTTAACTTCTTCTTTATGACTAGGAAGACCATTGGCATTCCACTGGGCAATTCTTAGAAAATTGGCCATTTTAATTGATTTTGTTGATTAGCGTGGCAATCATATTGAGGATCAGACTGTTTTGTTGTAGGAGCTGGTTGAACATATTTTTAAATTCATCTAGGAATTTATCCATTGTAGAAGTTAGACTTATCGAGTTTTCAGTGTTGTTGGCTACTGCATCTGCATACGTTCTTGAGTATTGGCGGTTAGTGGCGGGCTCAACATTGTTAACATAAGCTGGTTTTTGTTGGCACCTCATACACTGGGTGATATTGTTCTTTCTAGGTCTGGGTGGCTCTATTTGAATAGTTTTATTCTGTAATCCTATGATGTTATAATTGAAATTATAAGATAGTAATTTGTTTTGCATACCAATTTTATCTCAACATGTATTTTTCCCGACTTTATTTGAGCTGGGATTTTACGCTATGTCATGTCATTTTTACTTATTCTCCTGTACAAGATTTCGTAGTCAAATTTGGTGATTCCGTGTATTTCCTCAGTTGACCATGAATTTGTTGCGTTTGGAGCGTTCTGTCCAGTGTATTCACACTACGTGTTTCCCCCTCCACTTTCTAATACAATTCCAATCTAGACTCTTGAGTTGTGTGAAGTTTGTTTAGTGAATTTCTTTGAGAGACTCTTTTAATAATAGAGGAAACACGGCTGGTTTCTTTTATTTTTTTAGCTATAAGGATACAACGACTGAGAAGAAAAGGAGTGAAGAGGGAAAATACAAGATGGTCAACCGAGTGGCTTCTGAAAATAAGCCAGTATTCCCACGTCTCGTTATTGAAACAACTGAAAAGGGAACTGGATGAAACAGAGATTTCTGATGCCCTCGCTTTTCTGTAAACCGATCTCAACGGGTTTATTTTTCTGTAACAGTCTCTTTATTTGCTATCTGGTCTATTTATTTGTATTTTTTTATAAGATTCTTATACGCAACGTTTTTTTTATTACGGTCACTGTAGTCTTTATTTTTAATTTGCCACAAACACGGAAAACTTATACATTTCAATGAATTTTCCGAGACAATCGTAGGTGCATTGCCGCAAGACTGACCTGATTAGGTTTTTTGGGGCAAAAGAAAGCGAACTGAACATGATTCTACACATTTAGTTTTGTCCTGTCAGTTCTGCCATCAGTTTTTCAATATGACCTTGGATTTCATTTCGATTCGACAAGACGTACTTTTTACTGTTTAGGCACAAAGCGTACAATAAGACGTAGCGTGTAAGCCCGCCTTTAGTTAAAGGCGTAAAACATATTATCGGTTTCAAAAATGTGTGTATCAAGAGAAATTTTTAGCTTTTAAAACCCATCTATATTTCCATGGTAGGTGTGTTAGCCTGTACCATTTTATAGCACGATTTTTTTGCTGTGTCGATTGTTGAGTAATCACGATTTAATTTAATGTTACATCATCTTTTCGGGTTGCATTATGCATTATATTTGTATACTTGTCGATATAAGTAAGTGCATCCGCTTACGTGCATTTACGAGAAAAAAAAATGGCCTCGGGTAGATTGACTCTACACTTCCCAAGCCTTGGAAATGACTAGTACAATTTTCCATGAATTTAGTACAAGCTATCAGAAAAACGTAGGTTTGGACAGATCCATTAGTGCAGTATTCGGACTTTTCATGAAAAAGAGTTTCTTCAGATAGCAGCAATGAGCGTGTACTCACAAGGTCGCTTCATTCTTTGGAGCTCTGCCATTGTTGTAAAACTATGTGTCAATAACCTCCTAACCTCCCTCCAAATGTGTTTCATATAGGATCAGGATACTCTGAAACGTCAAAAAACGGTTGAGCGACTTTATCTTTTTTTTTCATTTTTTTGTCATTTTTGTTCGACGCCACTGGACCGTTTTTCAAAAACTACAAAGCTTTCTCGTCCTTGGCATGCTGGTAGCCTTGTGTGGAAATTTCATCCAAATCCGAGCAGTAGCTACTTTCCAAGCCATTTCTGCACAGACAGGTAGGCAGACGACCTATGGAAATGACTGGCATGGTTTTTCGTGATGTATGGAAATGTCATATAACATAACATCCAAAAAATATAATATCTCATTTTCGTAATGTTTCACGATCACAATTATTCTGCCTCGCCAGTTGTCTGAATTAAAACTAGATTGGCTGATACTGAATCTCTGATATACATGAGTGCGTCCCCCCTTGAAATTCTGGTTGCCTAGGGTTCTGTGTATAATATTGGAGATTTTTTGGTACCGCCTCTTTCCAATGATCGTCCCGTTGAGAAAATTCTTTAGGGCGTCTATGTCACCAGAGGAAATTAGTGTATCGTCAAATAGACCGTATACCGATGGGAATAAGTGACATGAATTTTGCTAGTGTAAACATCATAAAACACTTAAAACATTTTTTATACTGTAGCACATGCGTAGGCGAAAGCTAAATATCGAGACACCGCGACTCCCATAAGGAGCTTAAAGACGCCTTGTTAAGTCGATTTTTGAACTGTCTAAGGTGCGTAGAACAGTCGCAGTAATAACTTCCAGATTTCTCCTTAGAGGGGAAGACTACAAGTGTTCTGACAAGCTCATCAGCAGATACCAGCTAGGTACCCTGAATGCTTGCTTGTAGAGTGGATTTATCGCAGAGGGAGGACATCGTCAATATGTTCCCTGCGAAATGCCTGCATTGATGTTGTAGTTGTGGGATAAATTAATATCAGAAACCGTAATTTAAATTCAGTTTGAAAATGCCCGCGATCACTATATTGCTATATTCAGCTTGTTACCATAGCTCTTTTATAATATAAAGCACGAATCTGTTTGGAATGGTAATATGATAATCCTTAAAAATATGGATACCTACCTGAACATTTAAAAAACTTCAAAAACTTTCCTGAAAGATGATTGGTAGAAAATTGTATCCAATTTCGACATCTGTCGGTTATTTGATATTAACTGTCCAGTTTTTCAAAGAGAACTATGTTTAAAACGTATTTTTCGTTATGTACAACAGATGGCGAGACCATAGAAACCTGTCAGTGGAAAGACAAGTGGAGTTAATCTCGAAAGCTTCCTGTAATGTGTAAATAGGTGCTACGTTCTGTGACTACTAGGGGTCACCACAGACAACCGTTGCTCCGCCCTCTAGCGACAGAAATTAAAAGTAATAACAGGTAGACAACTGTACCTTAAAGAATAGTGCTTATTCTTGAAGTGGATAGATGGCAGAACGAAAAATGTAGCTATGGTGCTGCTACCTATTGGGTAATGATCGAAGTATTGACGTATTTATATTCCGTTAAGCCGCGTTTACAGTCAGCTGTTACCCTGTTTAGAGTATTACTTTGGACTCGGAGCTATGTGTTCTTTGGTTCATTTTCACAACAGATTTTCATTTTGCCGTTTATTAGTGACATGTATGTTATGGCTATCATCAATGGTATTATTTTAATCTTTGAGGGTGATGCACGAAGCAGTTGAAGTTCAGAAAGATGTTCGTCTCTGGGGGGGGGGAGGGGGTAATTGACGATTAAACATTGAACACTGTAAACGGGGGAGTGACGTTTGTATGCTGTAGCAGTTAGGCATGGCCTCTGAGAGCAAATGGCCCTGTGACACCTGAAGAGAGCGGAAGTGGGACGCGTCTAGAAGGGAGGGGGTGCACACGTCTCACGATACAGGTCTAGCAAGATAATTTTTGCACAAAGAGACAGCAATATATACCATGTCCGTGTGAAAAAGTAAATGGCAGACTCGGGCGTCTAGCGGGTAGGGGATACCCTCTCTAAGTGTGCCCTTGCACACTCAAAATACACAAATTTTATTTTGTCAATATAAATATTTTGGAAAATATCGCTTATCCCAGCTCGTGAGGTGGAGACGTTATGACCGAAAAATATGAAAGGTTCCAGAATGCCACAGGTATCCTACGTGTCCTGTCCGCCTTGGAAGGTTTTGGTTGAAATTATTATCAAAATAACGTCATTACTCATGTTTTGATACCCCATCTGATCTTGGAATCAAGAAGCTCAAAAATGCTTAAACTAGAGAAGTAGCTTATTTAAAAATGTAGATCGATAGCTGGAATGAACCATCTGTTGAGATATCGCACAGCAATGACTTTCATTGTGCAAACGTGGCTTTACATTGATCATCTCCAAGGTCCGCAACTCGTAATACTCACAGGAGTGATGTGTTTCACATAAACGTGAGTTAATTGAGTCGGACTGGTTTGGGTTTGGCAGCGTTCTAAGTGTTTACGAGAATTCGCCGCACATTACGCTACTTTCCGCGAGGTGCGGCTATGATCGCCGTAACCGTCTGAAAATTCCCGTCCGTTTTTCAGCCATGAAAACGGTTCGCGGACCGTTCGACCGTTGTTTTCGCTGTCATTCAGTCTGTTGCGTGAGAGTTGGAGCATAGCAAGCGGTCGACGGCAGCTTGATTGTGTTCTGGTTCCATGTTTTTTCGAATTTCCGCCCTATCCGATCGTTCCCAGAAATATGTAAAGCGGCGCGACCTCCCAGAGTACTTCACGACCTCCTGAGGTAAAAAACAACGTGCCACACGTTTGAAACATCGAAATCGGACATAACCTTCTTCGCGGCAGCTGTCGGTGGTGAGAATCTAGGTGGGCCAGGTACCAATCGGCAGTTGTTTCTGTCAATTTCCGGACGTTTGACGGTTTGGGTTCCGCAGATTCGATTTTAGTGATTGAGAGTGTGACCCCTTCTCGGACTATGTTGGGCTACACGACGTCCAGGGACGGGCTGTTACAGCTGGATCCGGAGGTCCTCACCTCAGTGCTTCGTAAGGAGCCCATACACAGCGTCTATGAAGTGGATAAAACACCTTTGGGCAGGTATGTTTAACCATACATTCCAGTTCTTTGTTGCTGTGGAAATTTATGCATACGTTGGCGAATGTGCGATAGGGAAATATTCGAGAAATTCACCTTGAACGGTTTGCATAATTTGTGGGTTTTATCAGCGAATGCTAATTCGGTATTGAACCAGATAAGGGACAAACATTGCTTGACGTTTAATCGCCATACCGTCATAAAGCACCCAAATATTCCTATCGAAATTGCATTATTAAATTATTTTAAATCACTTCAGGGTCATACAACAAATTGAGCGTTGACGAAAAGCAAATATAATTTAATTCTAAGACCAATTATCGCTTTTTTAGTTTTGAGTACCTAGTTTATTATATTGGTATGATTTCAAAGAGTAACTATTTTCACAAGAACTGTAGGTATCTGGAAAGAGTCCATACATCTCCAGTAGTTCTACTTTGCTTCTGCTAGACCACATGGGCTTTAACACTCAACATTTTTTTATATAACTGTTCATTTGTCTATGTTCATATTAAATCTATGAAAGCTTACCTGTGGATATGTTGGACATTATAGACTTATTAAACTTGTACCATTAGTTGCTGGAAATCAGCCCCAAAATTGATAGAATTTGTATTATTTATTTAACTTGTAATAGACTAACTTGTTTTAATTAACAATCTTTGGGATTAATACTGTACAGCACTTAATTTACTCATCCACTGTTTTTATGTGTAAATACTTTGTTACTAGTAGTTCGCAATGTATCTAGCCCCAGAATCTTTACACTTATATTTGATACCCTTTATTTATCAGAATCGCATTGAATGTTACAATTATTTTATGATTTTATTGCTGTGCTATCAGTATTTTTTGTTCTGTACCTGTAGGCATCTATCTAACTAGGTAGTTTACAGAGATACAGTAATGGACAAAAGTATATAGACAAATTAATATTATGCTGTATTTCTTTTTTAACTTGTTTTATTAATACACCAACCTGTTTAATTCGTTATAGCATAATACTCACTTATACATAAATAAATTCATTAGACTTCCTTCAATAAAAAATTATTTGAAAACAACTGGAACTATGAAGGACAAAAATATATAGACAGAGCAAAACAATTATAGAAAAAAGAAGCAAAGTTTATTGAAATATAGAAAAATATTTTGTAGCATAAGCATTATTATCAATCACCGCCTGGCATCGTCTAGGCATAGTTTGCAGAAGTTTCTTGATATCAGATTCATCGATCTGTCTCCACTTTTGCTCTAAAGTGGCAAAAAGTTCATCCTTGTTTGAATAATTTTTATCTCATATTTGCTTATCTAATTATTTCCATAGATTTTCAATTGGGTTTATATCGGGAGACTGTGAAGGCCATTTGAGAACTGGAATTTTTTCATCCAGAAAGAATTTCTTTGCAAGATTTGAAGTGTACTTCAGGTCGTTATCTTGCTGGCAGATTGATCTTAAGGGCGTATTATCTTCCATATAGGGTAACATGACATGCTTTAGTATGTCTGTGTATACAAACTTATCCATAATGCCATCTATTCTATGTAAAGGTCCCATCCCAAACCCCGAAAAGCACCCCCAAACCATAACAGACTCGCCTCCATGTTTGACAGTGGGCAAAGTGTACTTGGGGTTCAATCTTTGTCCACTAGGACGTCCAACCTAACCATCTGATCCAAACATATTGAACTTGGATTCGTCACTTACGGTTTTTCCTCGAGATTAGCGGCTTCTTACACTCGGGCGACGTGCAAATAACTTCAAATCATTTAATCTTCTACTTATAGTTTTCGTAGAAACACTGACAATTCCTTTTGTCTCGATTTCGGATTTTATTTGTCTTGGGGTTTTAAACGGATCTTTAGACGAAATTGCTTTTATTAATCTAACTGATCTAGCATTTAGCTTTCTAGGCCGACCACTTCTCTTAGAGGCTTCCAAGATACCTTTTTGTTTATATTTGTTCAATATTGCCCAAACTGCTTTACGGTTCAGCTTTAGATTTTTGGCAATGTCGACTTGACATTGACCATCTTTGCATAACTCAATGATCTAAGTTGTCACATCAAAAGAAATTTCTGGACCACGCGGCATGTTCTTAAAATCACTCAACTTTTATTCCACAATACTTGATGAACACAAACTAATCCTCTTCTGTCACGAAACTACTAAACTAATGTTGAAAAGAATTTGTCTAAATATTTTTGTCACTCATAAAAAGTGCTTATATTCAGACTTGTATTGCGATCATTGCAGATTACGTAAAACAAGGAATTTAGTTTTTCGACTAAAACGCATTTGTTAATGGAGCAATGAAGTATGAATTCGTTTTCTAAAGGTATTTAGGTAAATATTCATATTTGTCTATATACTTTTGTCCATTACTGTAAATCCCTGGGTAAAGTGAAATGCACAAATAAAAATTTTATGGGTGTACGTAAAAAGCTAACCTTTCAACGTAAGAGATATGATTCATTATATTATTCAAATTGCAAGGAAACAGTGAAAGGAATTTTCTCATAGTTTTTTTTGAATATATGGAAGAAATTTAACTGTTCATTAGTAGATCTAGAAGGTGTAAATTTGGTTTCTATTGAAGTTTTTCCATGTTTAACTTTGTTTAATAAATTGTTTCGTTTTTCATTCATGTTCATATGTTATGTTGATTTTTAAGAGCGTGAATACGCTAATAAAATCAAAATTTATTTTTTTAACAGAATTAAACCCAGAACTAAACAAGCCGCGTACCTTGTACACCATGATGTCCTTTTTCAAATAATTTAGCCACAGAGGATATTGACCTTTTTCACACACCAAATTATTTAGAGACACTTAATATTCCTACTGTCAGTTGTCCTGGGTACCAATCTAAAATTAAATGCTTATTACAGTGATTTGAAAGCAGATTTCAGCACCTTGTCAGCAAAAAACAAATATTTATTCTTTCTTAATCAGTTTGACTGAAATAATCAATTATCCTGTCAATATTCAGCTGGAACTTACTGAAGTGCAAAATTATTATCGCAAAAAAAAATTTACCGGAAAATTCTTCAGAAGATTTTGTAGATTTCTTGAAATTAGCACCCTAAGGAGACTGATTTAGCCCTATAGTTCTTGAGTAGTTTTAGGTCAACAGACATAATATGTTTGTGAACACATTTTCTGAGCAACATATTTGTGACTTGTTGGTGACAACATCGGATTTGACGTCTCATATAACAAAATATTAAATGAGAAATAATGCCAGAAGTCACATTGATTGCATCAGCTTACCTAGCTCAGATTTGTATTTGAGATACTTTCATTCAATTTGGTTTCTATGTTTACCATAATGCGTTCTTAGTTGCTCGGACTTTTTATCGCAGAAGTGCTGAATGTAATTAAAATAGAAATCTCCTGAGGCCCGCTGAAAATGTCTAAATCCTTCCTTTGGCCCGTTTCTTAAAAAAGAGGTATCAGGATAGTTTGAGCTATGTGTGGTCTAAATGCTATTTTTTGAAACTTATCATAGAAGAAATCAGAAAAGAACTATATATTTTTTTTAATTTTAGTTTTGTGGGCTGCCTAAAGTACTCTATCGAAATTTTAATTTTTCGTAATGTTATGTTCCTCTATCTCTGTCGAAAAGAATACCTTGATATTATCCAGCCTCGCAACTAGATGGTGTGTATCTGTGTTGTAATAATTCTCAGAACGCATTTTATTGTTTGCGCTCGCGAATTACATCGCGTAATCGTTTGTTCTATTTTTCCTTTTTTTCGTTTCCCAGAACAAATTTTTCGAATGCCTGTTCCATTACGTACAGGTGGTCATGGTATTTTCCATAGTACCTGCACAACAGCCTATAAAAGCTCAGCTAAAAACCAGGGCTGATTGATTTAAATCATTTGACTTAAACCATGATTTTTATCAAACGATTTTTTTTGCTAGATGGATTTTGTAGATTAATATTAATGAAATCTGCTACATAAAAGAAAAATACTCATTCAAACGCACAGTTTTCATCTGTTAAAGTAAACTATGTTATTATAGCATATTAATAAGAAAGGCAATCAGCTATTCATTATAAATTAAAACAGAACAAACACCGCCTTCTTGTTTCCCAGTCCATTTCAAAGTTCACATAGGACCAGACCAAACGTAGAAATTTCTTTTAAGTCCTATGAGAAAAATTGATTTCATTTTGCAAAACGAAACTAAAAGGGTAATAGGTTAAAAACATATAATTAGGGAACTAGTACTAGTGGGAAAAAATATGTTTCTTAGCGAACGAGTGAATTTAATAAACTGTATTGAACTCTAATACTAGTACACTACAAGCTGCAGAATAATCATATAATATGACTATGTGTATTTACTTGTATAATAACATTAAATAAGTTACTTAATAATAATAATAATAATAATAATGCCTTTATTAGCTGCAGTGAGGCGAAGTTTAGCCCACAACAGGAAAAAAAATACTTAAACACATAAACAAAATAATAACATACCAAAAAAATACAGTTCATAAGAATGACAACATCGACTGCACGAGACAAATGCAGATAGTATTGTGAGAGTTTTAAATTTGAAACAAAAATAGTAGAAAATAGTCAAACAAAAAAAAGCACACGAACACAAGAAAAACTGAACTGAATGGACTCCAGCAGCTGACTTTTCATTAATTTCTTAAAAGAAGCAAGCTGATTGGATCGAGAGCCACTGTTGACTGCATTGTAATGCTTGACAGCATTATAGGTGTAACTTCTTTCAAAGACCGGGGTATTGTGAGGAGGCATGTTAATATTAGCATTAAATCTAAGAGCTCTGGTAACAAAACTACCACGGTGAACTAATTTGCTAGCGAGGTAAGCTGATCTGTTAGATAATAGAACTTTATGCGTGAAGACGGTCAAAAGATATAAAAATAACATCAATTCGCAACCAGTTGAGTTCTTTGATTTTATCTGAGACGCGACTAAACTTGCGCAAGCCAAAAATAAACCTACAACAGCTGTTCGAAATTTTCTGGAGTTTCCTTTTGGGGACGTAATCTAAACATGGGTAATAAAGAACAAGAGAGTAAGAAATGACAGACAACACAAGACTTTCAGCGAGCTTTTTTCGGGTTTGAAAATTCAGGATGAATCGATTAGAATACAGAAGTTTCAAACGCATATACGTTACTCTAGATAAGAAAGAGACATGCCGATCGAATCTCATATTTAATGTTGGACCAGCGAAAGATTGCAAGCCGAAAGAATGCGGACAAAAAATTGCGAAGTTGTCAGATGTTCTACATAAAATGCGGTCCATACATATTAACATATTTAAGATATAGAATTGTTCCGCTGAATTTGGCAATGTAGCTGGAAAACCCAGGCCGCAGGTAAACATCCGGTCGCTGATTGGTCCAAAACTCTTATCTTATCTGAAACTAGAATAACGTGCCGATGGCACGGTCATTTATAAACCTACTCCCATAGGCGTAGGCAGTTGGCAAATACTTTGAAAATATAATTTACTGTTTAGTGGTGATAATGGAATTCAAGCATGGGAAAGTTATTCACAGCCAGGCAAGGGAAATAATAGCAAACGTGATACGTGCTTGCGATGCAGAAGCGGCTAACAATACTTTCGTTTATCCACTGGTAGCTAGAAATGCAAGGGCGGCATATTATACGGGTGTTAGTGAACGAACTATAAGTAAAATTAGAAAAGAAGATAAAGACAGGCAAAATGCAACCTCCACACAGCCTTTAGCTTCTCCCGGAAAAAAGAGATCACGCCCTTCTGTGATCCAAAAAATTGATGGAGTCGATTTTTCCATTATTCGGAGAATGATAGAAAAATTTTACTGTGATTTTAAAGTGGTACCTACTTGTAGTAAACTTCTAATCAAACTGAAGGAAGAAATGGAATTTCCATTTGGTAAAGAATCGTTGAGGCTGCTTTTAAAAGCAAAAGGATTTTACTGGCGTAAATGCCACAACAAAAGGAAATTACTAATGGAAAGACCCAGTATTTTACATTGGCGATACAAGTATCTTAGGTCTATTAAAAAGTTCCGGGAAGAAGGAAGGCATATTATTTATTTGGACGAAACTTGGGTTGATAATGACCTCACTTTCAAGAAATGCTGGCAAAGCGAAGAAATTATGGGTGTCCTGAGCAATATAAGTTCTACAGGTAATAAAGTTTCTTTCACCTCGATTTTGCTTATTATACATTTTTCTCAATTTTGGAATATTCTTAATAAGTGCTCATTTAATTTGTCTAATTGAATACATAATCCCTTGCAAGTATTTTTTTCTCAAAAATATGTTTTTTATACATAGTGATTCAAAAAGGTGTTGGCAAACTTAAAATAACACTAAAATGAGGCTATTTATTCATTTCCAGGACGACTTATAATTGTTCATGCGGGTTCGCAAGATGGTTTTGTTCCTGGAGCCTGTCTCATTTTCAAGGCTGGCTGTGCCACTGGTGATTATCACGGTCAAATGAACCAAGAAAATTTCACGAAGTGGCTTACTGAAAAACTATTTCCTAACATTCCTCCTAATAGTATTATAATAATGGATAATGCACCTTACCATTCAGCTTTGGAAGACAAGCCTCCAACTAGATCTTCTCTAAAAAGAGACATCATCACGTGGTTGAGCAAAAAAGGTATAGAGCATGATCCTAATGCTAAAAAAATGGAGCTTTATGAAATAGCTTGTCTACATAGGCCACCATCTGATGAGAAAAATTATAAGATAGATAATTTAATAAGAAGTTTCGGACACACCCCACTTCGAACGCCACCCTATATGTGTCAGTTTAATCCCATAGAGATGATTTGGGCACAAGTAAAATTTTTCATTAGAAGCCATAATACAAGCGGCGAATTTACTATAAAAAAACTAGATGAAATTTCTAATAAGGCCATCGCTTCAGTAAGTGCCAGTGACTGGCAAAAGGTTATTGGACATGTTATAAAAATTGAAGATGAATATTGGGAAAAAGACAGTCTCATTCAAGAAATACAGGAAGAAATAATAATCAACATAGGAGGTGAAAGTGATAGCAATGACAGTTCCTCAGACAGTGATCATGACTCTAATCAGGATTGAAACTATACTAGATTGGCTACCTTTTAGAATTTTTAGATATTCATTTATTATACTATTGGTTTGTGGCTTTTAGTATCTCAGTAGAAAGTCTAATTCTATGTGTTGTTTATGGGTTATTTCATCAAGAAATTACTTTTTGTTTTCCTATATTTTTCTATTCAGTCAGATATTTTTGACTTGTTGTATTCTATTTTAGAAGAATGCATAATTTGTTTTGCTGTTCAATCATAATGCGTACATAGGAATATTACTTGTTGCCTAAAAAATATATTTATTTTGTTCTCAATATTCAGTGTTTGTGTATATTTATTTCTTATAATGTATGTTTGGTATCACGTCATTATGAATCGCAAAAAAATATTAATACTACCAGTTGTAATAAAATATAAATTCAATTAATAATTCAAGTCTCTCCGATCTCCGCCTATGACTCCATATAAAATCGTCTAATGGTAAGGTTTTTTCATCGCATTTCCCCCTTTCGTCCCTAGCAATCTTTGGCTGGTCGATCAATAAGTCAAGGGTAACACCTAGATTCTTGGCGTAATCCACAAAAGGGATGAGTGTCTCATCCAAAACAACACAAATCCTCTGCTTCATTTCACGGTAGTGGTTCTTCGAACAGTACAACATTGCATTAGTTTTATTAGGATTGATCTTCAAGCAGTGTTTGTTACAGTAATCACTGATGTTAGCCAAATCTAAATTAACTTTATAAGAAACTTCATCAACCTTTGATGGATCGAAACCAAACACTAACTGAGTATCATCTGCATAAGTTTGCATACTACAGTGGACTAAACAGTCTTGCAGATCGATCGTATAAATCAGATATAGTAAGGGACTTAATACTGAGCCCTGTGGAACTCCTGAAGAAACTGGCTCAGTGGAGGAAATTCCCTGATCAGTTTTCACTGTTTGTTGGCGATTTAGCAAGTATGACTCAAAGAACCTTAGAACTATATCTGACATTCCATAATGAGATAACTTACTCAGTAGTATCTGGTGATTGACCATATCAAAGGCTTTCGAGAAATCTAACAGTACCAAGACGGTGTTGATGTGATTATCTATCTTAACAAATTTTTATAAAAGTATACAACCCATCTTATTTAACAAAAATCAAAAAATCCTCAAATCCATATTTTTAAAAAAAATGTACCTTTTTAACAATTCTAAAAGCTACTTAACTTTGAGGAAATAGGTTCAGGAAAAACATCATCATTGTCGGTATCAGAACTATCTGATATGAATATTTTGTTTTTCTAACAATATTCCTTGTTTAAGTTGTTTACAATTTTTAATCTGCTTGCGCATTCTAGCCACCAGTGGCACTGTATCCATATTGAAGGTTAAATGTTTTGCTCTTTTATTTATTTTCGAGCCAGCTTTGGCATCAGTCTCCGTAAAATATTTCCACACGGGATCCTTTCTCCTCCCTGTCCATTGCCTTTCTTTTTTTGCCGATCTTTAATGCACAAAAAACAAAACACACCACCACGCTACGACTTCGCACATTTCACTGCTGGAGATCGCAACAGTGTTGCCAGACGATTATTTTTTTTCTTCCTAGATATTTTCCAAAATTTCCCTAGATTTCCCTAAAAACTTAAAAAAAAAACATGTTTATTTAAGAATTCCTTTCATATACGTATTTAATATTCATCTTAATATTGTTTGTAATTTGGGGTAGGAGTACTGATAAACAAATGCAAATAAATTTTTTACGTTTAATTAGTTTAATTAACGTAACAGGTATTTCTTAAAATATAAACTAAAATACATGATAACTTAAGTATGCATATTATAAAAATATAAAAAAGATCTGTATAAATAGCGAACGAACGAACATAGCATAACAAAATATTTTGTTTTTAAGAAAACAATAAAGCAAAATAATCAGAAGTAGGTATTATAATTTAATTTTGAGTTTTATTGTACATTGACGAATCCATTCTTCTAAACAAATCATTAGGGATGCTAAAGTTGTAGCAACTGTCATCTTTCAATAAAATTTTGGTATGTAAAATTCCACTTAAACTTTCAGTCTATAATTTATTTCTTATTTTAGTTTTGTTTAGATTTATTTGGGAAAATATCCTTTCGACATTTCCACTTGAATGTGGCAAACTAAACAGATTAAACGCAAAATTAGTTAAGGTTGGAAACGTAAGAGAATCATCACCAGATTTGAATGTTGAAATTTTTTCCCCAAATTCTTGGACGCTTGAATTTGTATATTCACTTAAATCAAGGTTTCTTAGGCGACGCCATTCTTTGTCTATTTCATTTACGTTATCAGTTGTCAAGTTGGGAAAATGGAAAACTAAAGCCCCTAATAATGCTTTTTTTGCAATTACTTCATCTGGTAATATAAGTGACATATGTTTTACGGTAGCGACAGTTTTTCTTTTATTACCAAATCTCTTATAAATTTAAAAACAACTTCCTATTAAAAAATCACCGACGGGGAATCACCGATGAGGAATCACCGACGGGGAACCACTGTGTTTCGTTTAGTAATTCCCCGAATATTATGAGTTATGATTTCCGACCGGTTTGTTGATACAATCTGGTGTTCGTACATTTGAATATATTTTGAATCATATTTTATAGGTACAATCGGAAGGTATTTTAAAATTAATCTATTTGTTTCTTAGTTTATTATCTATCTCTCGTTTATTTTTTGTCCCTGCTGCTTAAAATTGCCTTACAGAGCTTAGAATTCCCTAGATTTTGATCAAATTTAAATAAACTGCCCTTTTTTCCTAAGCTGGCTCGTAACTCCCTAGATATAGGGAAATTTCCCTAGGTCTGGTAACACTGGATCGCAACGCGGAAAATTACCCAAAGGCAGACGGTACTTCCCGGAAGTTCGCTTTTAAATGTTGTCTCAGTCTCTGATAGAGCTGGATCAAAAATAGTAATGACACTTTCAACGAACTTTATTAACGTTGCTAGATTATATAGGCAATAGTTTTTTATTTTTTTTTACTGTTTTAAACATGTATTAACAGAGTTTTATATATTTTTTTTCATCTAAATTTGAATGTTTTAAACAAAAAAAACAGTTTTGAACAAAAAAACAATTTTTTTTAAAAAACTTGTTTTTTTAAACCCTGTTCTAGGCTTTGATCTCTTCATGAACTGTTGAGTGGAATCTGAGTTTTGTAGGGTCCAGAAAATAAATCAAAAAATGAGCAGGCCATATCATATCTGATCTACTATTAGCATCCTGTTCTTCAAAGGTTGTCTTCAGCTTTTTGTAGATTTTGATAGCATCGGTCAATAAATTTGATTTACAGCTGGATGCTTAGATCGTAATTCTCGAATATTGACAATGTCAAGTACAGTTTCCCTGACTTTTTTCCTATTGCTCGCTGAACGTGATGTTACCCTGGATATTGCATTTAATAATAATAATACGTGAAAGATATGCAAACGACCGTTTAATAAAATATGTGCCACAAAGTACGAAGTATGTGAGGTCACGAATGTCGAATTTCCAGTCTTGATAACAGCTGCGCCGCTACAACGTTGCTGCAACGAAAGCAAAGAGAAAGTGGAGTATACGCAGTCGGGACGAAAAATTTATAGACTCCCAGTCGCATTTATTCATTATTATTATACATTTTCATTATCATTCCTTACATAATAGGCGGGATCGAAGTCCTGGATCCTGGAGATTTTTTTTATACGAATCAATCTTTTGTGTCATTACTTATTTAACATTGATGTCCCTTTTTTTTTATAACAATATTTGAAACTTGAGTTTTAAAAAAATCAGTTTTAATTAAACCGCTCTGTAAGTAAAAAGTACGGGTTTTGTTAGAGGTGGTGCTCAAGTTTTGTCATAATTTATAGAAGTGCTTAAAATTTTTAGGTATAATATATTCAAATCATTGTACGTTCAAGTGTTTCTGTTTCGTTAGTTTCTGATATTCTTTACATGAACCCTTATCGGAAACTTAATACTTCATATGAATATTCGAAAAGCTTATTAAGTAGAGCCTCAAGGGCATTAAAGTGCGCAGAATTTCTGTATTTCTTGTTTTGAAATATTCGTCTCGAAAACTTAAATAACGATAGTTTCGTCCTGATGTTCCCTCATGTTGTTTCATTTGATAACGGAGAACAATCAATGTATAAAAAAACTGACTATAAGAAGGGTAGCGTAGCATTAAAGCATTTCCGTAAAATTGAATGTTATTTGACTTTGGCAGAAAGTATAGCACCAGTTTTCTTTAGTGGTGGGTAGGTAAAGCTAGAACGCTTTATTCCTCAGGGTCCTGTTTTGAGTATTTTTTCAGCGTTCCAGCTCTTTTTCTATGCATTAATTTTTTTTTATGCTTATCTATCTTGTAATTTGCTTTGGCTGTTGGATGTTGCTAAATAAATAACTAAATATTTAGTAACAAAGCTGATACATCCATAAACCTGTCGTTTTCCAAGGCTCGATATGGAAGCTGAGTACAATCCACGTTCAGTCCAATTTCGTTGCTACTAGGCATGTTTTATGTGTTTGTATGATCGGCGGTTGGTGAGAAATTTTATCTCCGGCTGTTGCGTTGATGTCAGCTTAAAAGACAGTTGTAGTTTGTAGCCCACAAAACGTACTGTTAATATCCTGAATAAGTTTACGTTCGGGATGATTGGAAGGTAGTTCCCATATGGCAATCAGTCGTTCTGCTATACAGGGTGTTCCTGAGAGATAGTGAAACGGTAGGAAGTATGGACTGAGTCTAGGGTAGCTAAAAGTTGTTAAAACCGGAAAATTTACATTTTTGCGCTTGGTTAAACATTTATCCATGGTGCCCTTAAAAGCTGTAAAAATCAAAATATCTGACCCTGTCTAATATGTATCCCTTAGTCTTATGACGTAATGAATATGAAAACAGAATAACATATTTTTCTTAGCTGACATTGAAAACCCAAATACCGGATGTCATCTCGATTTCTTAATTACAACTTCAATACCGTATATCAGCGTAAAGAGGCATTCAAGCCCTTGTTCCAAATTTCTCTGACAGCTAGAGTTCAATGTAACAAACCCAAAAAGGAGGTCAGTTCGAACAATTACTATTTTGATTTCATTTTGATTAGAATTATTCATCTCAATTTTAGGATCATCTTTGATTTACACCGATAGCGATATAATCAACACATCCTGAGATATTGTTACATTTTGCGACAGCGAGTGGTAGGAAAATATAACAAATACCATTACGCAATACAAATTATCACTGCCTGCGTGTACGCAGATGAAAACCATTTGGAATCAAGACGACACTCCTCAATGAGCGCTATTTCGGTACTGACCAAAATCGCTCATGATCATGGAGGTGGAAACCTTGCCTTGGGGTGTACGAGATGCGGTATTGCCAAACATACCAATGATGCAATGTTGCAGAATTTGTGGCGATCCTGACCTTCCATTTCGGTCTAGAATTGCGCGGCGTTAGGACCGATTCGGAAGCCATACTAAACAGATTCGACACAATTCACAATTCAAAAATGTGTACGCTCAAAATAAAACCATTATTTCGGCGTAGAGAATGAACTAACCCGTATTTTCAACATGCATCTTAACTCAAGGAACTGTTGTAACATATTGGCAAGGCCGCAGATTGCCACGTCAGCGTTGCCAGGCAACCCAGTGATGAGCTTCGCTATCCAGTCACCTTTTATCTCTTTCTACATTATACAAAGATGGTCAACGTCAAGTCGACATTGCCAAAATTTTGAAGCTGAAGCGTAAAGCAGTTTGGGCAATATTGAACAAATATAAACAAAAAGGTATCTTGGAAGCCTCTAAGAGAAGTGGTCGGCCTAGAAAACTAAATGCTAGATCAGTTAGATTAATAAAAGTAACTTCGTCCAAAGATCCGTTTAAAACCCCAAGACAAATAAAAGCCGAAATCGAGGTGTTTCTACGAAAACTATAAGTTGTAGAAGATTGAATGATTTGAAGTCATTTGCACGTCGCCCGAATAAGAAGCCGCTAATCTCGAGGAAAAACCGTAAGGACCGATTACAATGTTCACGGTTGCATCTTGATTGGAGCATCTGTGACTGGAAGAGGGTATGTTTCAGTGATGAATCCAAGTTTAATATGCTTAGATCAGATGGCGTTCATTACGTTAGACGTCCTAGTGGACAAAGATTGAACACCAAGTACGCTTTGCCCACTGTGAAACATGGAGGCGGGTCTGTTATGGTTTAGGGATGCTTTCCGGGGTTTGGGATGGGGCCTTTACATAGAATAGATGGCATTATGGATAAGTTTGTATACACACATACTAAAGCATGTCATGTTACCCTATCTGGAAGACAATATGCCCTTAAGATCAATCTGCCAGCAAGAGAATGACCCGAAGCACACTTCAAATCTCGTAAAGAAATTCTTTCTGGATGAAAAAATACTAGTTCTCAAATGGCCTTCACAGTCTCTCGATACAAACCCCATTGAAAATCTATGGGAAGATTTAGATAAGCAAATACAAGATAAAAATTATTCAAACAAGGATAAACTTTTTGCCGCTTTAGGGCAAAATTTGAGACAGTTTGATGAATCTTATATCAAGAAACTTCTACAATCTATGCCGAGATGATGCCAGGCGGTGATTGATAATAATGGTTATGCTACAAAATATTAACACAAACATGGTTGGTTTTCTATAATTCATCGAACTTTGCCTCTTTTTTCTATAATTGTTTTGCTTTGTCTATATATTTTTGTCTTTCATAGTTCCAGTTTTTTCAACTATTTTTTTTATTGAAGGGAGTCTAATGAATTTATCTATGTATAAGTGAGTATTATGCTATAACGAATGATGTATACAGGTTGGTGTATTAATAAAACAAGTTAAAAAAGATATACAGCACAATACTAATTTGTCTATATACATTTGTCCATTACTGTATGTGTCTTCTCTCTCATACACATTGAACTCAAGCCGTCATACAAATTTGGTTCGCGGTGTATAAACTTTCCCTGTTATCTTTGTACATGCGTTCTGCCTTATAAACATTGCCACTGTTCTCCACTGGCTCCTAACCCGTACTGCCAGAATCTTCTGTCAAATTCTGCATATTCATTAAAAGTTCTCGGTCGTTGGCCAGTATCAGTATTCGCAACTTCAACAGAATTCTTGATGTTCAAGCTGTTAGTACATACATCAATGAACAACGGTGTTTTCGTCGAAGTCGCAAAGACGTGGTTTGTAAAACAAGCGGACTAAAGAGAGTATCAGCCAGCAAACTGCTACTAGCATTCTTTGTCTGTCTTTTTACATTTGCGCTGAGGTCGTCAACACCGACCGCAAATGCTTTAACAATTTGTGTCTCTGTCTGTGTGCATGACCTCCAGTATTTGACGAATTTCCGCGGAATACAGTTAGGTGGTTGGTTGGATGTTGGTAGAGTAACGTTACTTTGTGAACGAAAAAACGAGGAATTGCTATTTATATGGATAATCGCGAAAATTGACTATTTAAAGATTATGGTAGATTGGTTTTTTGTTAAACTCTGTTTGAAAGAATGTTTCAGAGGCATATAAATCTAGGTAATAGAAAATAGGGTCAAGTGGATTGACTCAGTTTCCATTTAGTACTTACCATGCAGTGGCGT